GGCCGTGAGTGGCACACAGCGAGAGCAGCCTGTCACCGTTCGCATTCGCTGAACCAATGCCATGCGCACCGATAACATCTGTCCACGCTGATGCATCACGCACAACGCGCGCGTTGAAATCACCCAGCAGAAATAGTCGGTCGCTCCTCGGCACAGACCGTATCACGGAGGATAGCTCAGTGTAGAACTGATCACGCGTGTCATCAGGATAACACATGGTCGGACCGTACGTGCTTATAAAAGTAGCAAACTTACCTCTTCCGAGTCGCATGCGAACAGTCATCAGCCGCGCGCTGATGCCCGTTGGTTCACCCACCAGCAGGCCATTCAGGCGATCGGATATTGCAAATCCGACCCCATGTTCACGTGGTGCTGAGGCGGCGTTCCCCACCCAGTAGAATGTGTAGCCAGCACCTGCTTCATGTAACTTCCCTTGCTCAGCGAGCCGAGTTTCACTGAGCGCCGCAATATCGATGTGGTAGCGCGCCAGCTCCATTGCGACCAGTGCAGTGCGTCGCTCCGGGCGCTCGCTCGAGTTCCGGTCCAGTAGTGTGCGCACGTTCCAGCACCCGATGCTGAGTGCTTTGCGCGCAGGCATACGATTGCATTGGTGGGCAATCGCACGCGAGGTGGTCATTGTCCTTCGGAGGTTTGCTTGAGGGACTCCACCCGGAGCCTTTGGCTCAATAGCCTGACCCACAAGGCAGTAGCTGGTTTGGAGGTTTGCTTGAGGGACTCCGCCCGGAGCCTTTGGCTCAATAGCCTGACCCACAAGGCAGTGGAGAGCAGATCCAGCTCGGGAATGAGATTGCAGAGACAGATTGGGATCTGCTTGACGGCCGTCACACGCAGCCTTTGAGGTTCTGGAACAGTTATCATATGTTTTGCGACCGTAATTGGATACGCACCTGCGACCACGGCCAGACGCAGGTGGGTTTTTGGCGGGTTTGCACCAATTTGACCAGGGGCTGCCTGGCTTGAGGCGGGCAGTAGCAAACCATTGAACACCCGGAGGTGTCCTCCCACCGTCAGAGACAATGCGTGGCACTCGTGCTCTACGCCAATCGAGCATTGAGAATATCACCCGTAAGCCTGTTGTCACCCATGGCTAGGTTTTACGGGAAGTGGGCCATGGACCACTTCCTAACCTCCGGAGAGGATGGACGAGGATACTGCCAGGGCGCCCAATCCTGACAGGAGAACGACTCGGGTCCTCAGCCAAAGCCTTCGATTAAATGAACACCCGAAAGGCAGCGGGTCTAGCACATGGTCAGTTAGCTGACTCATGCGGATTGGTGTCCTGGATCTTAGCAGGGAGAAGGGCGAAACCTAACTCCCACCCAGCGGTCGCCACGTGGAGGCGCCCAGGACATGAGACTATGGCGCAACAGTAGCAGCAGTGGGTAGACCATCTGTCAGGATCTAGCCACCACCAGCCTCAGCGCACCATAGGCAATATCGTCTGCATACTCCAAGTCAAGAAGTCGTTCTCCTGGGAGCTCCACACCTTCCAAGTCATGTCCTGTAAATGCAAACTCCATGGCTTCGTCATTAGCGAAGTTGAAGAAGAAAGGTGACAGCGGGCATCCTTGTCTCACATCGCTGGAGATATTAAAGGGTGGCGACAGCTTGCCGTAAGCCCTCACTCTGCCCGTGCTACGCGCACATAATGCTTGAATAATATTTACATATTTCTCGGGCACACCTTTCCTTAGTAAACAGTTCCAAAGGGCACATCGATCAACCGAATCGAAGGCACCTTTGATGTCGAGGAACACGACTAGGGTGGGCGAGAGGGTGGATCCAAAGGGACAGCCCACGGAGCAGGGCGATCAGTGACCGGCGAATTGAACAATGCTAGTCGATTAAATTGCTTTTCAAAATGCTCAGCCCAACGCTCCAAACGTTTTGACAAAAAATTGTGGATAGGCTGTCCACTCTCATCACAAATTGTTTCACTAACACCCGGTCTCCTGCTGCCCGTTTCCCGTATCAGACGGAATAACTTACGGTGGTTGCCAAGGGCAGCGGCCACTTCCATCTCTGACGCACGATGAGACCACCAAGATTCGCGGTCTCTCTTCAGGCTAGCGCGGAGTTTTGCCCGGAGCACTTTGCGAGTTTCAATGTGCTCGCTTCCAGCCGGGATATGCCGGCGAGCGTCGATAAGTTCCAGAGACCGAGAAGAGACCCAATGTCCATGTGGGCTTTTAGACATACCACATGAGGATTTGCCCGCTGCTAGTAAGGCCTGGCGAATATGTGACCAGTGACCATCAATTGTCTCCAGTGAGCGATTACTCAACTCGTATGTCAGAGTACTTCGATATGCATTCAGAACAGCTGGCTTTGTCAGTTGGCTGGTGTCAATGCGCTCACAGCGTTGTCGTGGGCGTCCGCCAAAGCGCATCCGCATGTCAGCACATACAAGTGCATGATCGGTGTCCACACATGTGCTCCAAATCGAGCGACAATTCTGGATGCAGCCTCTCCAGCGGTAACTGATAGCAATGTGATCGATCTGCGTCCAAGGCTGGTTCGAGGTTGGTGGGCGCCAAGTCACCATCCGGCGGGTGCTGTGTCGGAAATTATTGCTCGCAAGAAATAAGCGAGCATCTTCACACAAATGAAGTAACCGCTCACCGTTATCATTACGGGAGCCTACACCGTGCTGACCGCCTAGATGCATTTCATCAGTGGAAAACTTTCCAACTTGTGCGTACTTACGTACGTACATATTTCGCAAAATGTACAAAACATCGAATACAAGAGCCTTCTAACGCGGCGTTAAAGATGAGTTCGGTCGGCTGTTATTCAAATCGTTAATTGCACAAATGAATTTGAGATGTGAGTCAATGGATAGTGAGATTGGGAATAGAAGGGTTTGAGGTGGTGTGCCACACTGAGAGTGGAAGACTGAGTGCCACGCGCACACACACTGAGATATGGACGGAATCCTCAAGCGCTTCAAGCCGATTCAAAACCGGACATGACTAACGCCATGCATACTTTGTATTGAAGTAGACAAACAGAAGAGACGGTAGAGTCCCGTTCGGTGGGCGCCAGATAACTGGACGTGAATATATGCGAAGGAGTTTTGCGTCGTTGAAACGAAGACTAGTCGATGCAAATTCGAAGAGGCCGATCCATAGTATTGATTCCTCATTTTAGATGGCGCATTTGAGTTCCCTATTCACCAGCTGTCTTAAGAATACCAGCTTGTCTGGCCACCGTAATAAGTGATAAGCGGTGCAGGAAGAATTCACATTTCGTAGCCTGTGAGCTGCAAATGGTGAGAGAGCGCAGATTGAGATGCCGTCTATCAACTCTGATGAGCTCCGAATTCGAACAGCACGAATGTGACTATTTGCTGGGGACAGTTGTGCAGTACCGGCTTATTTCTGGTTGGAAAAACACGCATAGGTTAGATGGCGCAGGCAATTGATTGGAAAGAACGTTATTTGCATATCTTGTACAGAGAGCAAGCAAATCGGCCGAATCTTGCAGACGACAGAGAGTAACGGTTATTCGTCTTAAAACCCAATAAAAGAAGAACCAAAGGCAAGGGTATCTTGAAAACGAAAGTAGAGGATGTAGTGGATGCTATGGTCGGAATTTTGGACTTAGTCTGAAAAGCTGGTTGGTTGATGTATAACCCAGGTCCGTGGACACCCGCGCCATTAGGTTGAGCGGGTGAGGAGAGTGCACCTCAGAAAAAGCATTTATGCGGACATACAGTATGAAAATGTCCCGGATGGCAGCAAATACAATGGGAGACAACGTTGTGATTCGTTCCCCGAGCTGAGTATTGTAATGGCAAACGTTTCACCACTTCGCTCAGTGGCATCCCTAGTACATTGCTGCGTAGAGGAAAATCACCCGGAAAGTGTCGTCGGGACGTAACGTTTGAAATTGGCCTCGTCAATCTGTGTCCCGTGACCTCCACTTGTTTGATTTTCGGCCGCCAGATTCCTGCTTTCTAAGCTGTAAGTACACAGGATCGAGGTCAAAGCGGAGACTCACGGAATTCTCCGTAGAGAACCTCCATCCGTGTGCCAGGATTTCGGTGTTGTCCCAGTTAACGGTATCCTTTCGCATCGAAATGCACTGAGACGATGCACTGTGACGATGTAGAATGGTATCGACATGCACGCTTGTGCTCTTGTATTCTTGTGGATAGTTTTCTCCTTTGACTCACATAGTCTTTCTCACAGTTCTCGCAGTGTGTTGAACAAACAGAGGTCACAGGACACAGATCAACGACGCTTTCCGTGAGATTTTCCTCTACACAGTAGTGCACTGAAGATGCCACTGAGCGAAGTGGTGAAACAATTGCCACTAAATTATCAGTTCGGAGAATGAATCAAAACGTTAGCTACCAACCCGAGCTACAGGTATTGCGAATCATTGCACGCAATTGAGGACAGTTCTTGAGCATGAGCGTTGTACTGTAATAATGGAGGTAGAGATGAAACTTTATCATATGTGCATGAGAGAAGGGAGATGCGTTGGTTTGGTGGCTGGATGGATAAGGAGTCAGCCTTCTAACCCAATAATAAATAATAATGCTTCAGCAGTAGGCCGTAACGCGCTTCGCTGCCACGCGATCACCACCAGTCGGGCATGGGCTGAGTATACCGCGAGGACGCCCACCTCTATGCGGATTCGAACCGGTGACCTTATGATTGCAAACCAGGCGTGCAGACCACTCGGCCACCGGCCGACTCAAAGGTCACCGATTCGAATCTGTACAAGCGATCTCAAAGTCTTCATAGCCGGGGAAGCGACTAAAGATGGTTGCGTGGTAGCAAAGAGGGAGTACGGAATCCTGGTGTTCTACAGACGCCTTCCATACTTAGCTACGAATCGGTTAGCTAAGCGCTGATACTGATAAAGGGATAAAAACATTGAGCATCCGCCAACAAGATGGAAAGTGACCGAGGTGCGCGAAACACAGTGGCATAGCAAGCAAATAACAAAAACACGTCACAGAAACTAACCGTTCTCATATCGCCGCATGGCCCGTGAACCGCGCTTCGTGATCTTCAAACAGGACTCGTCCACTGACTTCCCGCGTCTCTCATATTTTTTCGGTTGATAGGGAGGTAGGTACGACAGCTCAGACAAGCCACTTTCGGATCCGGTTTCAAAATCTGAGTAATGCGGTAAGGATTGGCAGTCCAGAGCCATGCTATGTGAAGCAAGAAAACAGAGTCAGTGATTAAACCACAATGCTGTACAAAGCGGTAGTCAGGGTAGAATAAAATTTGACACAAGAAGCGTGAAAGCTCTCTAAATCGAAGGGTTAAATTCACATGAGTCGACCAGTTCACTAATACCGTTAACAGCTGTGCATACATCGGTGGGTAAAAGATGATAGCATAAAATTTATTTTAGTGAAGCGAAGGGAAAGCTAACGCTCATTTGAAAATCAGCTCAAAAGAAATTATGGTCGAAAACTGGGTAAAACTAAATTAATGACGATCGCATAAATATATATATATATATATATATCCCAATCCAGAGGCTGATATTGCATTCATGATGTTTCCTCGCCGCATTTGGGCTAAACCAACTTACACTTGAACGAAATCTTCTTTATGCTAGATAAATTTCATTCCACTTCATCTGGTTCGTTCTGCTTACCTGAATAATCTATTAACTTGCACACGTCGCTTACGCTAATTATGGTCATCTTTGTTAACGTTATTGTGTTTGTAGCATTTTTTGAGTAAGTTTTAGAACAATTTGTACTTATCGCTGGATTCGCTGCTAATCAACTTACTTCATGCGCAAATTTACCGAGGAGCTATGCAGACGTAGCCTTATACTTTAACATATATAGTTTATTTGGCATCGCCGTTTCAAGTGACTGGCTGTTGCATGATATACCCGTTCTGGCTGCGATTGATGTGCATGTTGACAACGTGAATAAATGCCTATTACCCACCAACTCGTTTACACTGGCTCCTGAAGACATTTGGTCGTCACTGGAAAGGACGGGGTGCACGGTCCTTGGGGTCGTGCTAGGCACGAAGAGTGGTTCCATGCACTCAGTGTGGAGCGGACTACGGTCCAGCCACCGCCTTGTGTGCGTTTGATTCTCCAAATACAGCGTGCTTGTGTTTGCCTGTAAAGGAGTGTGGGCCGGCTCGGTTAATGAAATGTGGCTCCCATTCACATGCCTCCCGGTCTTATTCCTTCGGGTTTATACTGGATATGGGGTGTGTGGTTGCAGTTGTGGATGGTGCAGCGCAAGCCATCCATGGTCCTTCTGTAGGCGCAGGCGTCTTGAGGAGCTCACAGGTACAGGCAAATCCGAAACCGGATGCCGCCAACCATATATATCCCAATTTCGGCTAAACCAACTTACACTCAAACTAGGTCATTCAATCAAAAGCCATTCTACTTTATTTGGCTTGTTCATTTCTGTCATTCTGAGGCATATTCTGTGCCAAATTTGCTTGCTTGTGTTGCATTAAATTCTATGTTGGTTGTTTGATATCCCCGGTGTGGCTGCGTTTGATGTGAATGTTAGTAAGGTGCCTACCATTTTAATACCCTCCACTTCAAGTACTGGCTCCAGGTCGTGCTAGGTTCAAAAAGTGGTTCCATCCAGTGTGGAGTGGACTAGGGACCGGCCACAGCCTTGTGGGAGTCAGGCACGCACGACACCCTACACAGATGAACAGAAATGCTGCTGATTTGTATGTTGAAGGTGTGCGGGCTGGCTCCGTTGATGAAACATGGCTCCCATCTACATGCCTTCCGGTCTGATTCCTTCGGGTTAACACAATGTACATGGAGGTACAGCACAAGTCACGCATGGGCCCTCTACAGCGGCAGGTATATATATATATATATATATATATATATATATATATATATATATATATATATATATATATAATATATATATATATATATATATATATATATATATATATATATATATATATATATATATATATATATATATATATATATATATATATACGGTCCCAGTGATCGCAGTGACTAAGGTTCATTTCAATGTGAATCACAGTCCATTACATTGACATTGCGTGTCGCAATCCAACCACACAACGTGTAGTCCAAACTTGACCCTCCAATTAGACCATAATGTTGTATTGCGTGCGCAGGATACTGTCAGGTTGACCAGGCCAAGTAGGTGAACGATTAGGGTTCTCAATCAAAGCCTTTGGTTCAAAAACCTGACCGCAAGGCAGCGGGGTTTCGGCACTGGACAACAGAGAACAAGTTTGCTGGAGTAATGTGGCATCCTACCTCAAAGTCCCAAGCTGGACGGCCAGGAGACTGTTTATCAGGCCTCTAGCCATTGGTCAATCTAGTATGAGTGGCTCTGGAGATGTAAAATCACCATACAGTATAGCCCAATTGATCGCTGAGGCATGCAAACCATCGCACCGCGCTAAGGTCCAGACTCGTCGCGATGGTGGAACGGCGTCAGATCGATACGGGTATCGCAGTGTCAGCCATCGGCGCGGAGAAGATCTGTAATCGTGCTCCATGGTTGTGGGAAAGTTATTGGCGGGTATTCAGTGTGCATTGATGCAATGACAAAACACATTGCGGAAATCGGGGAAGGGAAACCAACTACGGCTTCACCGTGTAACCTGATGCGGAGCAAACTATATTGGGAGCAGATTTCCTGAATCTTAATAACGCTATGGTCGATATAAAACGGGGGAAGTTTTTGACTGAATACGGGTCGCTGCCACTCATTGGCTAGGAAGGAACGATACCTTCGCAATCGGTTGTTGCCGCGTTACACTTGAGCCAAGCCTTGCAGTCACTGATCACTAAGTATCACCCCTTGTTTACGGATGATGGCAGTCCGTATGAATATCGCAACCGGATCGAGCACGCTAGACGTATCAGACCCAGGGATCACGAAATATACCGACCCATTTGGAGGCTGAAGTGAAGAGACAATTGCAGGAGATGCAGGACGCTGATGGGATTGAAGAGGCAAACGGCCCATACAATTCTCCAATTCTCTTAGTGAATGCCAACGGGAAGTGCTGTTTCTGTGTGAACTCCTGGAGGCCGAATGAAAACGCCGTGTCGTTTTGTTTCAGTGCCATCAGTTGCTGACAGTTTTGACAGATTGCCACAGTCGAGGCTATTAAAGGTTCTGGATCTGAGACCGGAATATTGGCGAATGGCGATCAAACGAGAAAAAAGAGAAATAACGGCTTTTACTGTCGGTAATTAACAGTACAAATACAACGGATGCCACTTGGATTACCGGGAGCCCACTTTACCTTCTGTCATATAATTCTGCGCTTGCTGGATGACAAGGAAAACGTGGGTCGGCCGGTGGCCGAGTGGTCTGAACGCTTGGCTTGCAATCATAAGAACATCGGCTCGATTCCGCGTAGTGGTGGGCGTCCTCGCGTTATACTTAGCCCGCGCGCGACTGGTGGTGGGCGCGCGGGAGCGAAGCGTCGTTAGGTCGTACAGCTGATACATTATTTATTATTATTAAGAAGAACGTGGTTGCGTACGGGGATGACATCGTGGTACATAGTCAACCAGAAGCGGAACACAACGATCGTCCTGAAGCAGTCTTGGAACGGATTCAACAGTCGGGACTCCGTGTAAACAGGCCGAAGTCCCAGATTGGAAAGACCTGTGTCACCTTAGTGGGCCATAAAGTATGACAAAGTGAACTGAAGCCACTGCCTGAGAAAATATTGACAACTCAAGGTACTCCAGTTCCTACCTCAAAGCACACTCTCAAAGCGTTTCTAGACCAGGCTGGGGACTACAGCAAATTCGTCAAAGAATTCAACAAGTTGGCCTCGCGCTTGTACGAGCTGCTGAAACAGGATAAGAAATGTGATGGGACTACAAAAGCCCAGCAAGTCTGATCGCACTCTACAGGAAATAGGAAGGAAGGAGCTGACCTTGAAGTTACGCATTACTGGAGGGAGGTTCAAGAGAGCCACTGATGCCAGCGATGTCGGAGTCGGTGCGGTTTTCAAACAAAGCCACGGGACGATTGATTACGCCGGCAGAACGCAAATACCCAAACGTAGAGCGAGGTATGTCTCGCAATCGTTTGAGTTTGATAAATAGCGGCCGTATCTGCTAGGTTAGCGATTTCCTGTCGAAACGCACCACAAGCAAGTGGAATGAATTAAGCTTGCCAAAAATCCGTGAGGAAAGCTAGCGCGATGGGTGCTGCGCCTACAGGAATAAGATTTCAAGATAAAACACGTGTCGGGGAAGGAGAACAAAACTGCGGATTTTCTGTCACACAAGCTGAACGAAGAGGATCTGCCAAGTGTGGTTTTCGCTGTTAATAAGATATATTGTTGGAGCAGGATCCAGGACAACTAGCAGCCGAACATAGAGAAAAGCTCTTGTGCAAAGTGATCGCTGCTCGGATAACCGGTCAAGCAGTCCTAAACAATAGTCAACAGAAGCAGCTCGAAGCGTTTGCGAGAAACCTGGAAAACCTACGAGCAAATGGATCGGGAATCCTGCTGTGGATACCAGAAGGCAGCAACTCTTTAGTGCCGGTTATTTCGACGAAAATACAGCGGAAGCTGGTGATTTCTTGTCACAAGATGGCACAAACCGGTTGCGCCACGATCTACCATCTACTGAGACAACGTGCCTACAGGTGTGTGCCTACGGGTGTGAAGAATGACATGGAGACACACATGTTTCCTGTCATCTTTTGAAAACCGCTTGCCAGTATCGGAAATTGGTTAACTACCATTAATCGACGTGATCGGACCGTTGTCAATAACTAGACCGAGCAATCAATATACACCACCATTATCATCATCACTATACACGTCAGCTAGAGGTGTAAAGCACCTCAGCTACTGTGCCGGAATACATAACAGAAAAAGAAAATAAATACAACTGTTGCATGCCAGCTGAGCTACCAGAAACGGATGGGTATCGTTCCGGTAAGCTACCAGCCGGCTACTAGGCAACAAGAAAAATTATTATGTAAAATTATATTGCGCTGCGAAATGAGATCGTACTTGGAGGGGAGGCTAAAAGGGATGGGGAGCGACAAAGAAACTCACAGAGGGCTTTAGGCGCTGAATTGAAGAAACGGGAATCATAGATCAACGAGCGACCGTCATTATCCAAGCTATCATGAAAGATTTGATAGCGG